AAATACTAATACACTGTATACTATACTTGTTATACTAAATACTAATACACTGAACACAATGCTTATTATACTAAATACTAATACACTGACTATTATATTTATCATACTAAATACTAATACACTGAATACTATACTTATTATATTAAATACTAATACACTGAATACTATACTTATACTAAATACTATACTTATGCTAAATACTAATATACTAAATACTATACTTATACTAAATTTAATATTAAAATATTAATATTAAACTAAATACTAATACACTGAACACAATACTTATTATACTAAATACTAATATACTGAATATTATATTTATTATACTAAATACTAATATACTGAATACTATACTTATTATACTAAATACTAATACACTGAATACTATACTTGTACTAAATTTAATATTAAAATACTAATATTAAACAATATAAAACAACACTAAACAATATTTGCTTACAATGACAAAGATATAGTTCAGGAAGATGAACATTGCCCGCGGCAATGGGACGTGTTAATAAAAAATGATGAACGTACAAATTAATAAACTCGAAAGAAATGCGTGACGTCTTGCAAACGCAGACGCGTTGTATCATTGGATACACGTCAAGGGGATGAAAAGAAACGGCGAGAGGGAAGGGAAGACAAAGTTCTTCCGCGCGGAAACGAGAAACGGTTGTCTCGATCGACGTTACGTACGCGGATGCGCTTGGACGCGACGTTGTACATAACAAACGAAACGTTTTGTAGATACCAAACGTCGTCTCGACGATTGACAGATTCTACCTCGACTCCGGAAACGGACGAAGGGAAAAGAAACGGACGTCCGTCGTACGGAACGTTTTCAATTCCGAGAGAAACTCAGGGCGGGAAGCCAACGACGGATGCTCGATCGATACACTTTCAGATCCGCTACACTTTCCACCTCCGCCGCGCATTTGCAGAAAAAGAGGAGATGGAGGCCGGTGAACATGCGGAGGATCGAGGAACTGTCGACGCCGGTGACGAGGGAGATGCCACCGCCCAAGGACCCGTCCAAAGTCGCGAGGACCGCTCTCACCTACAAGATCAGCAAACGCACACAGAAGATCGCGTACTCGAAGACGGTGGCGGAGATTACACCGCCGCGGATCCTCGGCGCGGTTTCCCCGGCGGCGTTGAAGGCCGTAGGTAAGTGAACTCTCCCTCCCTCCCTCCCTCTTACCGGGATTTTTCCCTCTCGTAAGGGCTCGTAAGTTCGACGAACTTGCCACTCAAGGGATTTCCCGCCGTTTCGGAAGAAATCGTTCGGCTGCTTACTTAAGGAAGTTAGCACGTCGATGGGAACGCTTCGCAAGTTGCTAAGCGAAGGTGTGGAAGGAATCGAGGTGTGCAAGCTTCCGTGGCGATTTCGTGGATCCGTTTAATCTCTCCCCTCTCGTCTCGCAGTCAGCGGCTCCGCGAACCGTGAAAAACCGGCCGGGGATTAATTAAAACGATGTTTCCCGCGATTAAACGGCCGAACGAGTACGCGATGTCTCGCACGTTGCTGGTCATCCGCTTTCGAATAAAGAGCGAGAGCACTTCCCCCTCTGTACAGGGTGTGCCCACGCAAACGGTTGAAACACAGGTGATTCTACGCGGGAAAAAAAATAAGTCGAAAATGAAGAATAAAATTCTT